TGCTCCACCCTGTCCTCCGGGGGCCCTGAGAGCCAGGATCAACTCGATGGCAGCGAGGTGTGTGTGTGTGCGTGTATGTGGTGTACTTTGAGAGAAACTCGGCCACCGTAGGCTGGGCAGAGAGCTTTTTTGTGCTTTACAACAAGGTCCTTTGTCCGAGTGGCAGGAACAAAGGACTGGTACAAAAACAGCGGGCTCTCGGAACATATTCCCTCGCACCAAGAACAACAACCCCTTGGGTACAGTCTTTCATGTTGCTGCTGGTAGTGGGGGAGCGAATGCCGGACCCCCAGTGGCCGTGCAGGCATGGCCTCGGCCATCCATGGGAAGAATGGGGGTTCAGACCCATCAGGTGGTTCTTCAGGAGAGAGGTCTGGCTAACTGCTTCCCTAAAGACAGCAGCCCAGGGGACCCTCGGGGAGGCGGCTATGAGGGGCTTCAGGAAGGGGTGGGGGAGGGGCCAGAGCAAAAGAGGGTGAGCAGGGGTCTGAGTGGACCTCCCGGGTGCTGGACTCACCGTGCCCTCCGTGGCTTGCAGGCTCTGGAAGGCCCCCTCGATCTCCCTGCTCAGGCTCAGCATCCTGGAGTAGCAGGTGGGGGGCGCGGGGAGGGCTGCGGGGGGCCAGGTCACGAGCAACAGCAGCAGCATAGTCTGCGGCCTGGGCTGCATGGTAGCGAGGTGGCCTGGCTGCTCCAGAGGCAGACGCCCCTTTAAGTGCCAGGCGGCTTGGTCCAGGCCTCTTGCTACACGCCCCCATTTCCTGTGGGGCCCCAGCCAAGGTCTGACTGGCCTGTGTGGGTGGGTGGGGGCAGGGTCCTTTCAGAGGAGCACCCTCTCCTCCTCCCCCTCCCCACTCAGAGGAGGGGCTGCACTTGGAGGGGAAACAGGAAAACTGGGCCTCCTTCTCTGGTTCTCTCTCTGACGGGGCTTTCATGCTGGTCTAGTGGGATGTGTCAGGACCGGGGCTGTGTTGGGATGTAGGCATGGATGGGAGAGGCTGGCCGTGGCCAGTCAGGCCTCTCTGGGCTAACAAGGACAGTTGTGTACGGTTTATCTCCGGGGGCAGAGTGAGCGGTGCATGAGAAGTGACAAGAATTAAGGGACCCTTCCTACCGTAAGGCGCCCTGGCATCATTGGGTTACGGGTTGGGCTGTTAACCCAAAGGCCAGTGGTTTGAAACCACCGGCTGCTTCTCTCAAGGGAGACAGGGCTTTCTACTCCCGTAAAGCAGGGCAGTCCCGGAAACCCACAAGGGCAGTTCTACCTTGTCCTATAGGGTCGACAGCTGGGAGCCCGGGTAGCATCGTGGTTACACATTGGGCTGGATCGCATGGTCAGCTGTTCAAAACCATCAGCAGCTCCTCGGGAGAAAGACTGGGCTTTCTACTCCGGTGAATCGGTTCAGTCTCAGAAATCCCCAGGGGTCGCTGTGAGCCAGCACGGACTCGTCGGCAGGGAGTGAGCGAGATAGGGTTGCTGAGAGTCGGAACAGCCGGACGGCAAAGGATTGGAGATAGAGACCCCGTGGGCGCCGCTCAGATGTGTCCTGAGGACCAGGGCTCCTGGGGAACTGCTCGCCTTTGAATTGATGTGGATTCATGTTATCCCCTCGCTCCCTCGCCCCTCCATCCACTCCTCACTCCATGTGGAGCAGGCCTGCCCTGTGGGGGTTCTCAATGGCTGCTGACCTTTCAGAGAGGAGCCCTGCGGGCGTGGTGGACTATGCTCTGAGCTGCTCACCGTAAGGTCAGCAGTTCCAAGCCACCAGCTTCTTGGAGGGAGAAAGATGAGGCTGTCTGCTCCCTTCGTAATGTTAAGTCTCAGGAACCCCAGAGGGCCCATTAGACTCTGCCCGGCAGGGTCGCTGTGGGTTGGAACCGGCTCGGTGACAGTGGTCTTTCGGAAGCTCACCAGGCCTTTCTTCTGCAGCCCTCTGGGTGGCCTTGAACCTCCAACCTGCAGCAGCTGAGCCATTGCTGGGATCTGGGGCTGGGCCAGCACCTCGCGTGCCTAAGGTCATCTCAGCAGAC